TTGAGGCTGGCCCCTGGGGGCCCTTCCCCATCCAGGGCAGATCCAGTGTCCCCTCCAGAGAACCCCATGGTCAGTTCTCTCACTGACTTGGGAGCTGGACAGGAGATCCCCTCAGAAAGGCAACCCAAAGCCCAGGCCCGGCTCCAGGGTCTCTCCCAACTATGTAGACTCACATCCTCAAACAGACTGGCCTGTTTTAATTTCTCAAAGAAAACAAAAGTGCTTTGTTCCACTTTGTGACATCCATCACCTGCCTCCAGAAGCCACTAAGGTCCTGCCTTAGAAGCTGAAATATGATGCTGGAAATACTCCCTTGTTCCCTAGAAGTAACAAGCTCTGCTGAAGCAGCTGGCTGGCTGGCGAACTCAACCAACGGGAGAGCTGGAGCAAGGCCTCACCGCCCGTCATCTGTGCCCTCCATCACCAGAAGCAGGTAGTCTCGTCTTTGCCATTTGCTGCTAGAATCAGTGAAATAAATCTTCCTCCCATCCTGAGTGACCGTAAGATCATTCACAAAGGACATTTTCTTCCCCTCAACGGGAGTCTCAGAGGACAGCAATAGTTTCACTTCACCTGAAGTTTAAAAACAAAAAAAAAGAAAAAAATTGGCTTGAACTGGGAACTTGCATCTCAATAATTTCAAGATATTAACCAGCCTGACTTAAAAACATAAACTTCTCCATATGTCAGAAGATTTATTCCTTCTTATACTAAAAACAGTATTAGGTGTTAAACAATTCTTTTTAGACTAACTTCGTTTAAGGCAGAATCTTTGCTATAAGGATGAGGAATCTTTCTTTTACTAAGGCCAACTAACTTGATACATCCATTCCAAGTGTTAGGCTTTAATTCTATTTGTTTGAGAGAAATAAGACATATTCTACTCACCTGCTTTTTGAAAAAAAAAGTTGTAGTAAGTTTTGAAAAACAGTAGAAAGAACATGGACTGAGTGCTAAGCTCTTTCCAGGTGTGATCACCTTTAAACCTTCACAACAATCCCACGGGCAGGGCTACTGTGACCTCGACTTCATGAGGAAGCTGGACACAGAGCAGCCAAGGGACCTGCACGGTCACAGCTGGTAGCCAGCAGAGGGGAGCGTCCCCAAGCAACTGGGCTGCAGGGCCTACATTCAGGTCCCCATGCACTGCAAGACGACAGACTCCTCCCTGGCAGGAACCTCCACTCGGACACATAGCACCTGTTACAGCTTGCTCAAGGGGACTCATGAGCAATCAGGAGAGAGAAGAGGAGGAACAACGGGAGAAAATGGAAAGGCGGAGACAAAGGGGAAGGCCACAGAGAAGACAAAGGAGGCAGAAAACAAATAGACAAGACGCAAAGACACAGAAAAATACAGACAGAAACACATCTAATTTCCTCAAAATAAGTCCTTTTGAGACCCTGTAGCTAAAATATAAATAGTAGGAGGAAATTCCATGGACCAAATGGAATCATGGGTGGGGAGTTTTCTGGTGTTTAAAACTAGCTGACTTTTCTAGGCAATGCTTTCAGTACTGTTCAGTAGATAAGAAATATCAGGCCGGGCGCGGTGGCTCAAGCCTGTAATCCCAGCATTTTGGGAGGCCGAGGCAGGTGGATCACGAGGTCAAGAGATCGAGACCATCCTGGTCAACATGGTGAAACCCCGTCTCTACTAAAAATACAAAAAATTAGCTGGGCATGGTGGTGCGTGCCTGTAATCCCAGCTACTCAGGAGGCTGAGGCAGGAGAATTGCCTGAACCCAGGAGGCGGAGGTTGCGGTGAGCCGAGATCGTGCCATTGCACTCCAACCTGGGTAACAAGAATGAAACTCCGTCTCAAAAAAAAAAAAAAAGAAAGAAATATCAGTCTTTAGTAGACTGTTGTTAACAAATCCTTTTAAGTCTATGCACACACATATTGTTTAAAAGATCTAAAATCATCATAGACGGAAATAAGATATTGTCACATACGTTTCCAGGGATTTACTTCAAATAGTCCCTTGTATGCATCAGCCACAAAGAGAGTCCCATTGGGCCCTGCACGGATACCCAGGGGTCTCCCACACACAGGCTCATCGTCTCGGGTTTCTAGAAAAATAAAAGACAGGGATTGGTAGTTGGTCCCAGATTCTATCTGTGCTCTCTGCAGTATCCAGTTTTCTCATCCATCCCTTCCCATACGTCATGCAGTATGGAACAAAACAAGACCATGGCATACAGCTAGCACTGCAGGTGGTTACTGCAGGGTGTTCACCGTGGGGTGCTCACTGCAGGTACTTATTGCAGGGTGTTCACTGTGGGGTGCTCACTGCAGATGTTTACTGCAGGGTGTTCATTGCGGAGTGCTCACCACAGGTGTTTATTGTAGGGTGTTTGCTGCAGGGTGCTCACCGCAGGTGTTATTGTAGGGTGTCTGCTGCGGGGTGCTCACCGCAGGTGTTTATTGTAGGGTGTCTGCTGCGGGGTGCTCACCGCAGGTGTTTATTGTAGGGTGTCTGCTGCGGGGTGCTCACTGCAGGTGTTTATTGTAGGGTGTCTGCTGCGGGGTGCTCACCGCAGGTGTTTATTGTAGGGTGTCTGCTGCGGGGTGCTCACTGCAGGTGTTTATTGTAGGGTGTTTGCTGCGGGGTGCTCACTGCAGGTGTTTATTGTAGGGTATTGGCTGCGGTGTGCTCACTGCAGGTACTTACTGCAGGGTGTTCGCTGTGGGGTGCTCACTGCAGATGCTTATTGCAGGGTATTCGCTGCAGGGTACTCACTGCAGATGCTTATTGCAGGGTGTTCACTGCAGGGTGCTCACTGCAGGTGCTTATTGCAGGGTGTTCACTGCAGGGTGCTCACTGCAGGTGCTTATTGCAGGGTGTTCACTGCAGGGTGTTCACTGTGGGGTGCTCACTGCAGGTACTTACTGCCGGGTGTTCACTGCAGGTGCTTACTGCAGGGTGTTCACTGCAGGGTGCTCACTGCAGGTACTTATTGCAGGGTGTTCACTGTGGGGTGCTCACTGTAGGTACTTACTGCAGGGTGTTCACTGTGGGGTGCTCACTGGAGGTGCTTATGTAAGGTGTTCACTGCAGGGTGCTCACTACAGGTGCTTTTAATAGCGTGTTCACTGTGGGGTGCTCACTGCAAATGCTTACTGCAGGGTGTTCACTGCCGGGTGCTCATTGCAGGTGCTTATTGCAGGGTGTTCACTGTGGGGTACTCACTGAAGGTGCTTATTGCAGGGTGTTCACTGTGGGGTGCTCACTGCAGGTGCTTATTGCAGAGTGTTCACTGCAGGGTGCTCACTGAAGGTGTTTATTGCATGGTGTTCACCGTGGGGTGCTCACTCCAGGTGCTTATTGCAGGGTGCTCACCATGGGTGCTCACTCCAGGTGCTATTGTAGGTGCTCACCATGAGTGCTCACTGCAAATGCTTATTGCAGGGTGTTCACGGTGAGATGCTCACTGCAGGGGGCTTACTGACCATATGGCACAAAAAAAGGCAGGTTAAAGAACTGATGTAGAGTGCAATTCCATCATGCAAAACTGTGTGTGGGTGTGGATGTCCATGAACAGAAAGATGTCTGAAAAGACATTCACTAAAATGTTCGTAACACTTACATCTGAAAAAATGTAGGTGATCTTTATTTTCTTCTTTGTACCTTTGTGTTGTGTTTATTAAAATGCATCATTTTAAGGCCGGGCGTGGTGGCTCGAGCCTGTAATCCCAGCACCTTGGGAGGCTGAGGTGGGTGGATCACAAGGTCGAGAGATCGAGACCAACCTGGTCAACATGGTGAAACCCCGTCTCTACTAAAAATACAAAAAATTAGCTGGGCATGGTGGCGCATGCCTATAATCCCAGCTACTCAGGAGGCTGAGGCAGGAGAATTGCCTGAACCCAGGAGGCGGAGGTTGCGGTGAGCCGAGATCGTACCATTGCACTCCAGCCTGGGTAACAAGAGTGAAACTCCGTCTCAAAAAAAAAAAAAAAAAAATGCATCATTTTAATAAAAACATTCCAACTATTAAAAAATGGCACTATTAAGTCTATAGACTATCAGTTTTAAACAGTGAGTCTTCTACTCTACTTCTCCAAAATCTGAGTGACTTAAGGGTATTCTCACTTTGAATGATAGGGCTGAAATTGCTGTGACCAAGGCAGAATTAAGTTACAATCCAAGTAATGACAAGGTCACCTGCTTTTCTACAGCAGCACGCTGACAACACCTATTGGCCTCTGAACTACCACAAAGATAAACAGGGAGCCCAGTAAAATGGTGAAGGGCGAGGCCCACACAGTACCAAGCAGGGGCCATGGCCCAGCTGCAAAATGGGGACTGCAGGTGACCATCAGGCACCATGAGGCTCAGAAACTACCAGGCAAATGAAGAGCTCATGGTGACATCACGTTCCTTCTGCTAGATGGTCAGAGGTTCTTTTTCCCCCACAAGCATTCTAGGGAAAAGCAGTTCCACAGAGCAATCCAACATCCTTCTGAAAGACTGGAAGAGATACACGTCAAGGGATTACCACCAACTTACTGCACGGGCCCGAACCAAACCGGGCAATAGTCTCTATTTCGCCATTTTCAAGTTTTACGACCCGGCCATCTGCTGTCCCAGTAAACATCACATCTGTTTAAAAACACAAAAAGGAGGAAGAGCAATGTTAGCTTAACAACCATGACTATGCCACCTTCTCCTACAAGAGGGCCTGTTTATGTGTTCCCCCTGCCCCCCAAGAGGAAGTGGCAATTCTGAAGATGAAGGAGATGCAATTTCTGGGAATGCAAAAAATTCTTCAAACTTACAGCAATAAAACTGTGGGGCCCTAGGGAAGCAGCCTGTGGGCATGAACCTGACTCAAGAGCAAGGGTACAGCAGATACCAATCAGTGATGAGCACTGGGAGGATTTCCTCCAGTCCTGAAGCACTCAAGCTGACACTTAGCACTCAGGGGCATGAGTTCACATTCACCTCACATCCATGTCTGCCAGAAATCCTCGAGGAGAAAATTACAGCACATTAAGCGCTTACTTCAACAGCACATATACTAAAATTAGAACAATACAGAAAAGACTAGCATGCCCCTTGGGCACTGATGATACACAAGTTCTTAAAATATTTCATAGTTTTCAAATGCATATTGCAAACTCAAGGGTCACACTACAAAAAGTAAAAAAAGAAGTATAAGTGATATGCTAAGAAAGGAGAGAAAATGGAATCATATAAAATACTCAGTTTTTAACTACAAAAGATAGAAAAAGAGGAGAACGCAAAAATAGAAACAAAGAATGAGGGCAAAAATAGAAAACAGTAACAAATATGGCAGATATTAATCCAATATATCACTAATCACTTCAAACATAAATGGTTTAAATATACCAACTCAAAGACATGCGTTGCCAGAATGACTCAAAAAACAAGACCCAACTCTATGTTGTATACAAGAAACCCACTTTAAATATAAAGACACATAGATTAAAAGTGAAGGGATGATGAAAGTATGTCATGTTAACACTAACCAAAAGCAAGCCAGGGTAGCTGTATTAAATTCACACAGAAAAGACTTAAGACCAAGGAAAGTTATCAGGGATAAACAGGAGCATCACACAATGACAAATGGGTCAATTCCTCAAAAAGACATATGAATCCTTAATGTGTATACACTTCACAATAGAGCACCAATATGTGAGGCAAAAACTGATGAAACTGCAAGGAGAAACAGAATCCACTATCACAGTTAGAGACTTCTACAATCTAAGCAAGAATAATCACATGATCATATCAACAGCATCTAGTAACATCCAACACTCATTCATGATTAAAAACTCTCAGCAAGCTGGGAATAGAGGGAAACTTTCTTAACTTAATCAAGAACATCCATTCAAAAAATCTACATCTAACATCATACTTAATGGTAACAAACTAGAAGCTTTCCTGCTAAGATCAAGAACAAGGCAAAGATGTCCCTTATCACCATTCCTTTTCAGCATCTTACTGGAAGACCTAGCTAATGCAAGACATGAAAAGGAAACAAAGGTATACAAATTAAGAAAAAAGAAATAAAATCATCTTTGTGTGCAAGTGACACAACTGTCTAGGAAGAAAACCTAAAAGAATCAACAACAACAACAAAAAACCCTCCTGGAACTAATACACAATTACAGCAAGGTTGCAGGATACTGTAAGATACTGACTCACCTTCCTTTATACTAACAATGAACAAATGAAGTTTGGAATTAAAGACACAATATATGAAACATTAACATCCAAAAGAATGGCATACTTAGGAATAAATATAATATGCACAAGGTCTATATGAGGAAAACTACAAAATTCTGATGAAAGAAATAAAGTAACTAAATAAATGGAGAGATATTCCATGTTCATGAAGAGGAATAATCAACATTGTCAAGATGTCAGTTTTTCCCAACCTTAATTTATAGATTCGATGCAATGCCAATCAAAATCCCAGCAAGTTATTTCATAGATACAGACAAATGAATCCTAAAGTTCATAAGAAGAGGGCAAAGACCCAAAATATCCCACATAACCCAAATATCCCAGTGAAAAGAAAAAAGACAGGAAAGTGCTCTCTTTGAGAAGTAAAATCATTGGTTTGCACTTCAACCATAAATACAAAAATTAGCCAGGTGTGGTGGCACGCGCCTGTGGTCCCAGCTACTCGGGAGGCTGAGGTAGAAGAACTGCTTAAACCCAGGTGGCAGAGGTTGCAGTGAGCTGAGATTGCACGACTGACTCCAGCCTGGTGACAGAGCAAGACCCTGTCTCAAGAAAAAAAAAAAGAAAAAAAAAAAAAAAAGAAGGGTGTGCAGGGTCCCAGTCCAGGAGCAGTGTGCCACTGCAGCTGTTCCCACAGAACCTGTCCCCGCAGACAACAGATAGCCTGGAAGGTCCCCCAGCTCAGACTTACCCCCAATATGTGCTATGGACTCCGGTCCAATAAGCTGATTTTCAAACAGCCTTTCTGCCTGTCGCAACTTTGTATTTGGATGTAGAACACCAAGCAAAAGCGGGGGTTCTTTGAAGCTGCAAAATAATGCAATTCCAGAGATTTGTCTATAAATACACATGTGAAAAAAATGTATACCGAGGACCTAGTCTCGGTTCTTTGATAAAGATGGCACTTTCTAATAACATCCCCAGTTGCCATAAATACAAGGGTTAAGAAAAAAATGTTTCAGGATATCAGAAAATGTCAAAGTACAAAAAAAAATATGACAACATAAATGTGCTAATGCAAGGCCTTCATCAGTCCTGTCTCCTGAGAGCATCCTGGGGCCTGAGCCCACCCACCCTGCAGCCTCCCCAGCTCCCCACCCCATCCAATGCCTCAGGGCAGCTGGACCTCCTCACCCCTGTGACTCACACAGCACCACAGCCACTGGAGTCCACCTAAAGTGGTGGCAAGTGGTGCCCACATTTCACAACTGATGGCCCGGCCTCGTGCTACACAGAGAAGATGGAAGGAGCAAGGGGAGACCTTCCTGGGACTGCAGCCACTGCCCCATGGTCCAGCACAGGGCACTCCACCTCCCGCTGACACTCTGAGGGCCCACCAGGCTCTCCCTAAAGCAGGGGCTTGAGCTGAGCCCTGGAGCCCTTCTCACAGACACAGCTCCAGGAACTCCTGCCTCTACTTGTCCTTCCCATCCACATGCCAGTACGTCACACCTCCCAACCCACCATCAATTCTGCGAGGCTCCTTTGAACAGACACCATTAAACCCCTTCTCCCCATGTCCTCCTTACCACCCAGGCCATGGCCACCATCCTATCGCTCCTGCTTCCTCCCTTGACCCCTGTAGCCTACTCAACCCAGCAAGCAGGTCAGATCATGACCTTCCTCTCCTCAGAGCCCCATCACGGCCCCTCTCACACAGAGCCAAGTCCTGGCAGCAGCCTTTGAGCACCACATTCTGGCCACAGCATCTTCTTGCCTCCTCCCCTTCTTGTGCCTTCTGCATCCCCCACACCAGCCCCTCCCTGCCGGGTCCTGACTACACCAGCATCTCCCTAACCAGTGCCTTCTCACCAGCTCTTTGCTCCACCTGAAACACCAACCCTCCCCTCCCCAGGAGGCCCACGCTGACCACCCAACTGAATATCCAACACCTCCCCTGAACGCAGGCCCCTGCCCTGCTCCATGCTCCTCATAGCACATACCAGCTTCTCAGGCACTGTGTAATTTGCTTCTTTTATGTTTATAGTCTGTCTGTCCCCACTATGGCATATGCTCCATGAGATCAGGGATTTCTGTGTTTTTCTCTACTGCATTCCCAGCACCCAGCATGGAACATGGCACATAGATGGCTCCCAAGGAGCACTGTTGAAGAGAAGCAAAGTGGGGAGGAATATCTTCTAATTATTCCCTGCCCCCTGCCTCCAGCAAGGCAGGGAGTTCAAGAATAGGAAGGAGCTAAGGGCTGGGGAAAAATTTATGACAACAGCAAAAACGGCTTCTTTAAAGCTCTTTTCACAGCAAAAGAGGAAGGAAAGGGAAACCCCACCTGGGGCAAGTGGTGCCATGCAACGATGACAAAAGCAGAGTTACCAGTTTCTGTCCAGCCTCGGTCACTTCTACATGCTGGGTAGCATGGGGTCACCATGGTCAAGAGGATCAGGCCAGCAGACAGGGCAGGAATGGCCACTTGGCTAATGGACAAGTGTTTGCGAGTCTACCCAGGGTACTATACCACTCCTGTGCGAGCTTAAATCACACTTAGAAATCTCCAAATAATCAGAGCAGCGAGACTAGGAGTGTGGTGGGGACTAAGAGAAGAGTGGTGGCTCTTCCAGTCTAGACTATTACAAAGCTGGTTTCAGTACTTAAGGACAAAGTCACCAGGAAGGCTGCAGGGCTTTGCCAAAAACCTGCCCTGCAAAACCACTTTCCCTTCCTTTTGGGAAGATTAGAGGGCTGTCACAGACACACCGTATGTGACATCTTGATTCCCATAGCATGTACAGAGTGGCTTTCAAGTTCCCTGTGACAACCTGGGGAGATGTGAACAGAGTAACAGGGTGTCAGCATGATCACAGATGGCTGACACAGGGGAAGGAAGCCTGCACTGATGCAGTGATTCTCAACTGTAGAGATGTGACCCACTGCGGCCCACAGACTGCACAAAGATTTTCCTAAGCACTTCTGAGAACCAGGTCTCTGATGTCCCCACATCTGTCTCTAACACAGGAAGCTAGGGTCTGGGGCACTGCTCTCTCCCTCCCTTGTAGGTCTCATGTGGGCCCTGCCTGAGTTCTATACAGTGCTTCTATTTTCTCTTGATGTCCCAGACCACCCATAAAGGTTGTTGCTATTTTTTAATATCTCTCAATCTGACAGTTCAACCTGGTAGTAAAAGGTGTACTTCTAACAGTACCACAACTTTCAACCACCAGTAGAATTACCCTTCCTGTTGGTCTTTAAAATTATAGCAGCCAAATCCATCCTCCAAAATGCTACTCTAATTTTTTTTAACCATAAATTTGACTTTAATTTTTCCTCAGTGACTAGAAACATCCATATCCTTCTATGAAAAATAAACTTTTTGCCCCCTTCTGCAGAGAAACCACGTCCTTCCACAGAGTGACTATGGAATGAGAGGCCAAAGCTGAGTCAGCACCTGCTGAGATGGCATGCATGGGGCACAGACTGTGTCACAGCCACATGTACTTGTGTGAGACACTCCAAGCTCTGTCACATACCAGGCTTCTGCCTCTGCTCTGCATTTTGGATCCATCTTCCCATTCTGAGTGTGCTATTCCTAAAGCTGAGCCCAGGAGCAAGGCCTGTTGTGACCTACTAGGTCACTGCCACTGCTAAAGCTGAGCCCAGGAGAGAGGTCCCTGTTGGCTGTGATGGTCCCACTGCCATTCCTAAAGCTGAGCCCAGGAGAGAGGTCCCTGTTGGCTGTGACGGTCCCACTGCCATTCCTAAAGCTGAGCCCAGGTGCAAGGTCTGTTGGCTGTGACGGTTCAACTGTCATTCCTAAAGCTGAGCCCAAGAGAGAAGTCCCTGTTGGCTGTGATGGTCCCACTGTCATTCCTAAAGCTGAGCCCAGGAGAGAGGCCCCTGCTGGCTGTCATGGTCCCACTGCCGTTCCTAAAGCTGAG